CGTTTGGTGGTTAATGCACCTGCAAAATGAGAAGGTCAGAGCCTAGACACCCAATATAAACTCTGTATACTCCGCATTCAAATAATAATGCGTTCCACGTGAGTTGGCTGACTGAAATGTTCTGGTACAGGACGAACAAGTGCAATAATTAAAGTTCATCCGTCTGTATTTCACGGCTAATGAGGCCCTGCTGCATGGACCGTGTGAAGGTCGCCCTAAACTGGTGAAGAATGACTCTATGAGATTAAGTAGCATTGTTTTCATGCCTAGAAAATATCTGGGTCAGCATGATAAACCTTGGATATCTTGTTTGAGAAGCGGGATTACATAACAAGTAGAGTAAATGCAACATGTCTGAAGGCCTCCCGGGTGCTGTTGAATTAAAAGGCTTTTGCCTTAATCAGTTGTGAACAGTTCTACTCTGCTTTCTAATGTCACAATAGAGCTGTGTGTTTGCATTTAGAAGGTCAGGGCTGTGAGAACATTACTGTTTTCATTCCTGCTTGCAGAAAGGCTTCACTAGTGTTTGTTTTCCTGTGCATATCCTGTTTTTCAAGTATGTTTGACACAGATCTTCTTTAGCGTACTTCCATCTTCTTTAGATTGTGTGTTGTGACATCTTTACATTCTCCAGAGCAGCTAGTTATCCTCTAGAATACCTCAGACAACAAACAACACATGGACAGTGAAAACATGATTTGGGTGGATCACAAGAATCTATCAGAGGCAATAAAACAAACGTGTATTTTGCTAAGGGGCGTACAGCTGCTTTGGGCTTGAACCTGGTGTCAGAATACGTTTACGTAATAGTTTAAGCAAATATTATATCTGAAGCCTCATCTTCTCTTCAGAAAAGGGCTCCAACAGCACAGCAGTCTCATTCTGACCACTGTGTGCAGGCAGAGTAAAAGATGATTGGACACGTACAGTATGTCTAAAGCATTATGCTAATTTCCCTGGATCTGCTGTGTGCACTAATACAGCATTTCATTTTTGAGGCCAGCTTTTGCTCTTTTGATCTCATCCTTTCCAGAATGTAACATCAACCACTAAACTAATGATGAATGGATGAACTCTTGTTAGTGAGGGCTGAGCATCAGCTTAATCCCAGTAGAGGAGTCGACAGTGGTACTGGCCCGCTTATGTTTACAGGCTTTTTCTCAGGAGAGTGGAAACACCAGGGGAATTTTACCACCGAGAGTGGGATGCCTGCCCATTTATAAACAGGCGAGTATTTTTAGTAGCGTCTGAGTGTGTTTGTTTGGATGTGATTAGCACTGTTGTCAGCAGGGAGAAAAGACTATGAGCATTCCCACATAATTGTTTTCTTTCAGGGGAAAAGGGTGGTTGATTAGCCAGAACCAGTGCAGTTGTACATTGGATTAAGGAGATGGAGGTAATGCATGGTATGTACTGTATGATTAGGAAGAAAGACAGAATATCTGCAGGTGCCAGGGAGTGCCATTCCTTTGATGGTATATGATACTCTGCGTTTTGCATGTCATTTCCCAGAGACAGGTTTTGTTTACAAAAGCATTGAGGTGTCAGGTGTTCTTGTTTGCTGATTTCATGTGAGCTCAGAGAGAGGTGTGTGCTATCAGTTATGTGACGGATGACTCTCAGTTTTGGGATGAATTCCAGGCTTCAGGCGTCAGACAGCTGACATCGAGGACCGTGGCTTTATTTGCTTCTTAGCTGAGCTCAAACATAAGAACGAGACACCCAAGGGAGAGTCGTGGCTCTTCCAGTTTGACAGCATGTGTGATGATGACGACGGTGTTCTCTGGAAGCTAGGTAAATACCAAACATATGATGCTGCCATCACAGGAAGTGAACCTGCCAAACTGGTTCTCCTCTCTCAGGACAAATAGTGACTGTGCCACTGTGTACCTCCCTCTGAAACTCCCTTGGTGGCTCCTTTGTCTCACCTCACAGTGTGGGAGTGTGCTCTGCTGCCACCTAGTGTTCAGAAGGCTACTTACATGACCAAAGAGACATGCTTATGAGTGTACAGGTGACATGTAAATAAATAACGTTTCCTTTAAAGAAGTTTCAGATGTAAATCAATTATCCAATCCAGTATCCAATTACTATCCTTTGTACAAATGTGAAGTACTTGTTCTTACCATAAAGTATTTCCATGTTATGCTACTTTATACTTCCAATATACTACAACTCAGAGGGAAATATTGTACTTTTTATTGAAAATGCTTTCCAATATTATTTTACAGCTTTTATTTTTTTTAATGAAATTACCCAGCTGTATAAAAATAAATATTAAAAAGAGCTTTACCTTTACCAGTTGCAAGATTAAAGTGACCAACACACACCATTTTAGCACAACCCATTTTATTGATCCAAGATTATAACACAATATGCTTACTTTGCCTTTTTTATAGTAGAGCTGAAATTATTTAATGGACAAAAAACCCTCTTAGTAAAAGAGAAGTCATTTTTTAGGGGTAGATGCAAAAAAATCACTGACTTCAACTTTCCAAATTTAAATATTTGCAAATGTTCTTAGTCTTCTATCATTTCATTTTGGACTGTTTGGAAACAAGTCATTTCAAGATGCTACATGGAGCTGTGATGGGCCTTTTTATTCAAATGTAATCTACAAAAAAACCTAAATTGCATCTTAAAACAACACAAGAGGTGTTTTTAACCATACAAATAAACCACACCAATCCTAAACAAAGAAATCATGACGTTTCAAGATTCTGAAATATTCCAAAAACATTGGCAGCGAGGAGACCCACTACATGAAACGTCTGTAATCCATGGAGTAAAAGCATCCATCATTAAGTGATCTGTAAACAGCAGAGTGGCTTTGTTGTGTTTGTCTCATCAGGCCTCTCTGTTATTGTTGTTGTTGTCAGTTGTCAGTGTGCTGTTTGATAAAGAAGTTACATTCTCAGGATCCCATTTGCACTGAAAGCCCATCGGACCCCATCGGACCCCCTGCTGTCAGAGCTCATTAATCAGAAGCCTCTGTCTATCACACAGTGGATAGCTTCTCTCTGTGCACATTAACGCTTTCTCTATCGCTTCCAGGCTGTGACTTCATGGGATTCTGGATAACGATAAATGTGGCTGCAGTTTAGGGTAATTATAATCACTCTGGCTGAATGAGTAGCTTCGGGGATATTACATTGTTGTGAATGCTCAAACTTGATGCTCAATTTGTGTACCTTTGCCACAGAAATAATGGGAATTGTAGGATCCTCCAGTATTAGAATCTGTTGGTATTTGTTTGCCTATCGGAGCGAGGCCCAGCCCTGCGCTGTGTCTCTGCTGGCAGGATGTGCAGACGGGACATATCCAGGGACGAAGCTTAGAGATATTAAACCTGTGGCGGAGGCTGAAAGCCAGGGTCCGTCCAGTGGAGGAAGGATTTGTAGCAACATCCAAAAGCAGTTTACTCAGACCGTTTAGGATTTTCTTGGTTACTGTTTGGATTAGGCGGTTCCAGAAATTGCTGATAGGAGCAGATTGCAGCTGTGGCTGAAGGAGAACACAATAGCTGTGATGAAGAGTTTAAAGGGACCTCCTGACTGAGGTAAACGACTATCCTGCACTCTAATCTCTGAACTGCTGCCCAGGCTGGAATGAGAAAGTTATTACAGTGACATGAAACAGAGCTGAAATGATCAATTGATCAACAAGTTACATTTCTGCAACAGCCATCGGTCAACGGTCAAGCAAAAAGGATGGTCGTGGTTCTAACGTCTGAAGTGTGAAGATGTTCTTTATAACATGTTCTGGGATAATAAGATGAATATCTTTGTTTTCTGTTGTTGGACATAACAAGCTAATTGAAATGTATTTAGCATAACCGATTTGCTAATTGCATATGCATTTTCACCCTCAACTGATAATGCTAAATAGTTAAAACAAATATTTATCAGTTATTATTTTTGTGATTTTGATTATTGTCATTATTGATTTATACACATTTTCTCTCGACTAATGGTCAATTGTTTGATCTTTAAAACAAATCTGAAAATGCTTTCCTTATGTTTCCAATGTCTTGCTTTAAGCAACCAAAAGTTCCTAATATAAATGAATTCTATTTAGGCTAAAACCAGACAATAATTAAAGCTTGATTTGATTGTATTATGTGTACAATATCAGAAGAAAAAGACATTTGAGAAGCTGGAACCATTGCTTGCCTTGTCATTACTGTGCTAATTGTTGTGGTCTAAATGTAATGAACCATAACATGCAGACCAAGGTTAGATGGTCGTTTCATCATGACCTCTTCTCTGGCAGCAGTTATGAGTGTCTTTGTTGCAGTTTGGCGCCCCCTCCTGGTCTAAAGCAGGAGTTACCACATATTGCACTGACAGCACATCAGGTCTGAAAGGAAAGTGAGTGTTGATCCCTGGAGCAGCAGGCATTACTTGGCAGGAGGAAATCCAGGCAATCCACATTTCCCACTAGTGACGAATGGAGCCAACACTTGATTGATGCATGACCCGGGTGCTTCAGTGCCAAACATCCATCAGAGAAGGGGTGCATGAATGCTGTTTTTATTCAGTGTAATGGGATTGTCAATAACTCCTGCTTCCTCTGAGGAATACACAAGTGCCGTGCCATGATTCACCAGTGAAGGCTGCTGATGTTTAAAGCACTGTTATTGAACCGAGCACAAGTCCAATAGCTGGCGTGGTGTGATGTATTCTTCTTCTGCCTTTTTCTTTTACCATTACCAAGCAATTTCTTGTAAGTCAGCACCTACCGCTCAGCAGACATGAGGAATGAGACACTTGTTGGTCTTCAGGCAAATAATATAACATGATTATAAATGACTATCAAGTGACAGAATCTACTTTATAATTAGAACTTAAAATACTTCTGACGTGAGAGACACCCAAGGTAGTTTATCCTCCTTGGGTGTCTAATGTGGAAAGTCATTAACTGTGTAAGCGTTGTCAAAAAGAAATATTGCCTGTTTACTCAGCTCAGTAGGTGGAGGAATAAAAGCCCCACAGACAGAGTTAGTACACATTTTTTAATAACATGGCACAATTTACATAACACAAGTTTAAATGAGGAGCATGCTGAAGATTCAGTCGCTTCATTTTTTTCTCATTTGTGTACATGATCTAGAAAGACTTCACTTGTTTTCCCTGTACATGGGTAACAGCAAAACAAATGTCATTGAACAATCTTTTTGCAATATGCATCGACTAACCACTATGGCTCCGGTGGACCTTTTTCTGTTAGATTAAAAAACACTGCACGACATGATATCACAGAGTTTGAAGCGCACAACTAAACCTTCAGTGGACTACTAAAATAGATCTCTGCTCGTTAGAAACAAACGGTCCATAGTTTAGACTTGCTTTTTTGTCTTTTGATTTTGTAAGTACAACAACTCAGGAAAGCACTTTAATACACTGTTTGACCAACAGAACCTATTTCCAAAACATGTACTTTACACATGTGCTGTAGTGATGTTTAATGTGCTGCATTCTCCCCAGAACAACACCGGTTAGAACTGAGTGAGAAAAAGAGTTAACATTTGTGCTGCTGGCTTTTTACAATATAAATCGTTTTACTTGAATTAGCTGTTTCTAGGATTGTCACCACAATTAATCATGTTTGAAAAAGTCATTCTCAAAACGTTTTGTTAAATCCAAATGGTTCCTTTGAATGGGTTAAAGCTTGATGTGTTTGCGTGGACCTGTGTGTCTGAGTTGTGGAGAGAATACAGCTTGTTGTCCTGTATTGTTACACAGTCAGTAGTAATGAGAAGGCGAGCTTTTAGAAAGGGAGCCCAGGCATTTGTTGCATAGTTGAATATGGGGTTTCTGGTACAATGCAACATTTGCATCCACCAAAATAAAATGAAGGAAATAGCAAAAAGCACATTCTGAATCACTGCTGTAATACTCCTCTATTTACATGTGTTCAAAGTAAAGCTTTCAAAACACCCTTTTGCATATTTGTACCATGATTTTAATCCATAAAGAGTGAGCACAGCGACTGTACATATTATCTACACACTTTGCTGTCTGTCAGTGCTAAAGTACATTCCAAAAGTCTTCAGTCTTACTCCGCGTCACAAGAGGGAGAATGCACACAAAAAGCTGGAGCAAACCGGGAAAACATCTTTGAAAAATCTTTTTTTGTTCCATGATTACTGTCTCTTTGTAGTTTTATACAAAAACATTTCGTAGTGTGGGCATGTCTCTGCCCACTTAAGTTATTCACAGCTATGTTACAGTCTTGCTTTGCCCAAAGCTAAGTGCTTAGTGGAGTTCAGTGAGATGAGGCTCACCGGGCCTCGATGTCTTTGTGAGCCGCTCTGTCTCTGATATCTGTGGCCAGGGGGGTAGTCCGTCTGGGGGAGCCGGGCCGGGCCCCCAGTGAGGGGATGAGAGGGGGCGGGGCACTCAGAGAGGCGGTGGGTGGTGTTTTGTTCATGATGCCGTTCTGATGGGCGGCGGCGGCGGCAGCGGCCATCGCTGCAGCCGAGGGGCTGACCCTGGAGTAGTGCATGCCTGGGAGTCCGGGGGCCATGAGGCCCTGGGCCGGGTGGGGGAGGTGTCCGTCCAGGGCCGGATGGTGCATTGCATGGTGGAGGCGGCCATGCTCGTAGTCCTCTCTCAGCATGTTGAGGCGCTCGCGCTCCTCCATGTGGGCGCGCTCGTGCTCCCTCCTCTGCTCCAGGGCGAGAGCGTGCATGTGCTCACGGTTAAAGTCATGAGGCTCTCGGTCCCGGTACGAGCGCTCCGCCTCGTAAAGTCGAGGCGCTGTAAGCCGGTGCAGAGGGTCGTTCCTTAGCAACAGATCCCTGGTCAAAGGGTCCCGCCTGTGAATGTCCAGGCCCCTGTAGGGGTCTCTCATTGGGTCCCAGTGGAAGGCAGGGTAAGGGAACCTGTCGGCCCCTGGGATGGGGCTGATACCCATGAAGGGCGCCACCATTCGAGTCCTCTCGAGACCACTGATGCTGTTCATGGAGTGAACGCTAGCCATGCTCATGGGCATAGGCATTGACGAGGGAGGGTGGAGGTTTGGTGTGGGCGGGGCCTGTGTTAGATGCTCATTGGCCCTCTCTGCCGCTGCATCCTGCTCCTCCTTCCGCTCCTCCTTCCGCTCCTCCTTCCGCTCCTCCTTCACCTTCAGCTCACTGCTCCTCTTCTGGTGCTCGTACGGCAGCTCCCCCTTCTTCTCCAGGACGTCCCGGCTCAGCCCGCCGTTGGGACGCTCTAGGCTGGTCTGCCGGACGTAGGGCGATGGCGTCCCCCTGTTGGACACTTTGTCCTCCGACACCCGGCCGTCGTGGATGACAGGTGTGTCCTTGTCGCTGTGCTGGTTGTCTTTGAGCTTATGCTCATCTGTGCCATTGTCTTTCCAGGAGTCTGAGTGCTCCCTCTCTCTGTCTTTGGCCTTGGTCTCCTTGTCCCTCTGGATCTCCCCAGCAGGGGGGGGGCAGGTGGTTCCTGTGTTGCTCAGGGGGCCGGCTGTGGCCCAGAAGGCTGATGGGGTTGACTGGCCCCGGGGACGGATGGCTCGTATGGCGCTTTTCCAAAGAGTCCCTAGAAGCATAAACAAAGTCCATCAGTACCAGTAAATTACCTGATCTTTCAATTTTATTTTTATTTGAAATAAGCCAAACTAAATGTAAACAAAAAAACTACAAATCTGATCCAACTAAATCTAAATACTTTCCCAAACTCCCTTTCATCACCCACCTGTCTTTGTCGTCTTTACTGCCCAGCGAGTCCCGTTTGTCAGAGTCTCGGTCCCTCTCAAGCGAGCTGGCCGAGGCGCTCCTCTCGGGGTCTCCAGGCTTCAGCCAGGGGGGGGGTGTGGGGAAGGAGGGCGGGGTGCGGTGCAGGCGGTTCCACGGCTCCTGATGGCCACCGTTGAAGTGCTGCTGTGCGTTGGGGCCCTCTTTAAGTCCGAACATGGCGTTGGCAGCGGTTAGGTTTTCAACACGTGGAAAAACAAGACCCAAGTTAAATGCGTATCTCGACAACTTGAATTTTCAAATGCCAGTTCTCAAATGATATTCTGCTTATATTTTAACTCAGCATGAGCAACTATAACTCTCAAACTTTGATGAATAGATTGGGAACAGTACAAAAGCAACCATGAGAGCAGCCATAGCGACTGTGTGCTAACCAACAGTAAAACTCACTTAGTGCTGGATTGCCCAGTCCCCCGAAGGCCGATGAACTGAGGGTCCCTAGTCCTCCAAAGTTTGTGGGCCGATTGAAATGTTCTGTAGGGAGACGCCACGTGTTTCCATGGTTACAATCAAATCCTTTTTTACATTTTTCAGATCAAGTGAACTGAGAGATCGTCTTACCTAAGTGAGATGCTGGGGCCAGGAAGTTTCCAGGATGGTGGGCCGGATGCCCGAAAGGACCTGCTGACGGGTGTGTGGGACCTGAGGAGTGAGCGAAATAAACATCTGTCAAAGGTTTAGTATTGAACAGTTATTTAGCATAGCAATCCTAACCAATGAAAGCTTTTTTACCTTTCTAAAACCTTTATCAAGAACATTCTTTAATAAGCTATATATATATATATATATATATAAATTGACCATGGGTTAGTTATGTTTGTTCATAGCTATGTTAATATTTGGCCTATGCCCAGTTCTTTTTCAGTAGTTGGCTAATTGAATACCAATACTAACAGTTTTGTCTGTCTTGGCTTGTTCACAGCTGACCTTGTTAACAATAATAAAAGCCTCCTCACTCTGAACAGCAGGAAGTGACAGGCTGCTGCCATGTGTCAGAGAGTAACTGTTGCTAACCATCCATCAATCTGTCTCCCCAGAGCTCTGACACACACTCACCTGCAGCGGAGAACAGTGTTGCAGGCCGTGCCAAATCTGAGGGGTGATGGATGGGGCCGAAGAGGCTGGGGCCCGGAGGCCGACTCAGGAACTCAGGCTTCAGGCCGAAGTCTAGCTTGTGAGGGTCGACCTGCGCCTGCTGCTGGAAGAGAGCAGAGGACAGAGAACACATGTAAAACCCCTTACACACTGCGGTGGATAACAGTCATTTTATATTGAGTTCAACTACTGTAAGTCAGCAACGGAACGGTGGCCTCGTCCAGGTCTGTATGAGTAATACATGTAAAGTTGTTGCTTTTGTGCATTCACGCCACTGTTATTAAACGACTGCACAGACGCCTGTTTACAGCAGGGACAGCTGATCACGCTGAGCAGGCTAGCATGGGGGGTTCAGAACAACTCCAGACCTCAGAAATCTGGAGAAGGACACAGAGGACGAGACGAAGGAGAAGAGCTGGTTCCGGGTTTATGGAGAAAAGCGCCCCTGTGCTGTGGAGGACGTTATGTTTGCATAAATATGTATTTATTTATATGGCGCAACAGTCACACAACTTCATTTTCTTCTGGGATTAATAAAGTATTTTGATTCTAAAAAATACAGATTTCACTATAATGTCAATGTGCTCTTTTCTCCCACAATGCATTGCAAAAAGGACATTTGATGGATTTATTGAACTTGTGAAAAGCTGCTTAAGTAATGGTGAGAATATAAGTCAGTCTTTACTGATGTTCTATAGAATTCAACTAACACATGTGTTGTTATTAAGTGTTACAATAAGACTATCACAAACGTTTTCAAATAAAGAATACATCTGTAACCAGAGAAGGGATTGAGGTGATACACCTCAGTAAATAAAACAATTATTGAACAAAAGCTGTAGAGTTGAACTGCATTCTGAAGTTGCGGTTGAATTGCCCTTGCACCCATGTTGATATATTTCCTGTATAAAAGAGGGTTGCTAAAGAGAAAAGCATGGAATTGGGAAACGGTAAACTTTGTCAGATGAGTCCTCACCTTTAATTTCTGTTGGTGGTGGTATATCTGCCAGGCGATGTGGACGTGCATGGCGCACCATTTCCCTGGTTTCTATGGGAACAAGACAAAAACATGTTAACATTACTCTCACACATCAGCACAGTGATAGTGGGACTGATACTAATCAACAGAATAAACAGTGGAGAAGTCTACATTGTCTTCATCTATTACAAATATATAGGAAGCACTGGTATTTCAACATTGGCTCTTAATAATGCGCTTGTCCCATTAAAAGGCAGATACAAGACTACTATATCTCTTTTCTGATATTTCCCACATGCTATGCTGTGATGCTTCCTGAAATATACAATATACTTTACTATCTTTTTCTACTATAGTCTTTGTTTTTTCTGATAGTTTCGACATACTATGACATATGTCTTTTTTTTAAATATTTTCGACATACTATCTGTGTATTTTTTCTGATATTTTTCGACATACTATACTGTCGTTTTAAAAAAAAGTTATTTTCAATATACTATATACTATGTCGGTTTTTATTTAGTTATTTTCGACATGTCGTTTTATTCAGATTTCTTTCTACATACTATACTATGTCGTTTTTTAATGATATTTTCTACATATGTCGTTTTTTTGGTGATAAACTAGTACAATACGCATGCATTTGCAGCTTTAATAAAGACAGCATCTACTCCATTAGCAAAAACCCCTTCATGCATCATGGCTGTTATTGTGTGTAAGTGCAGAGAGTGAGCACTCACCCTGAGAACGGGCCGGAATGGATCCGTTAGCTGCAGGAGGGAAATGAACAGGTTATTTTTGAGTTGTTTTGGCGTCAATCAAATCACTTCTAATTATTTTCTAAATGAACATCCATAACAACTTCACTTTGGGGAAAAGGGTCCAAAACTCATCCCAATGAACCTCTTCAAATCTTTTTATTGTCACTTTCATATGTGGTCCTTAATCCAGATTAACTTTTTGAAAGGTGATCCCAGTCAAACAGTCACATTGGAATTTATACAACCTTTAGGTCACTAGATCAACATTTAGTTAGTTATCCACTGGCGGGAGTCACCTGGCAGAAATTCTGGATGAAATCTGAATAAAGGTAGCCACCATTTCTCCACACAAATCTAATCATCATCTGCTGACAAATTTGCAGGCTGACACTGTCTTATGTCAAATGTATATTTGGCACTAAGGCTTGCAGTGTGACATAGCCACATTTATTTTGTTGAAAAGTTCCACCTGATGACTCAGACTTATGCAAACATACAGAGGATCTTAAGGCTACCTCTACACGGGTGTCAAACTCAATTTCATCGCGGGCCACATTCGCATAAAGGTTGCATTCAAAGGGCCGGTTGTAAATAAAATAAAATAAAAATATAATATATATATAAAATAATGTATTATATTACATTATTGCCTCTGAATTGGATTATTATCAGATAGGATAATAATTTAGTAATTAACTACGTCTGAAAGCAGAAGTCCAGGGCAAATAATTGCAAGTCTCTTCAGCGCGCATGTCACAAAACGAGATGCATTGTGGGACATGTAGTTTATGGGCAACCTGCTTCTGTAAAGTGGCATGTAACCGTATAATAAACGTATTATATTCTTTGCAAGCTCTTGCGGGGCCACGTGAAATGAAGTCACGGGCCGGATTTGGCCCCCGGGCCTTGAGTTTGAGACCCCTGTGAGTGTTGTCTATTAGCATGTGTGTGAGTTGTTGTGTGTGTGTGAGGTCTTACCCTGGGGTCCTTCTGTAAGAATGTGTGTGGGACGCCTCCAGGTCTTGACACATCGAGTGGATTGGAGGTCTAGAGAGCACCAGAGATGGATAAAACAATCATCTGTAAATAACTCCTGTTTTCAAGTTTTCTGTAGATGTGTGTAATGACGTGGGTGTGTGTTGGTGTCCCTGTGTGTCTTACCTTGGGCTGAAAGGCGCCTTGTAGCGAGCCGAAGGGCCCGTTCGGGGGGGAGGACGGGCGGAAGGCCAGACATGGCCGGTGGGTAGGCATGGAAGAGCTGAGGGAGGAAAGAGGAAGAGGAGGTGTGAGGATAGTTGGGTCTGAAATGCAGTTACACAAGACAGTGGAGATGACACACGCAGCGCTGACAGATGAACCTGATGAATCTTTTTCCCTTTTTCTTAGAGTGCTTAGTTACAAATGATTGCCTACATGTTTCACAAACTGCAAGTAAATAATATATTCCCTGCTCATTCCCATTGGATTTAAATAAGGAAAAACATTCCTTTGATGTGAAAACTAGAATGTTGTAATACAAGCAAAACACATGTAACCCCAACAAGTGCTTAAGTCTTCCCTAAAACTCTCCTCTGGAGAAACAGATATGTAATCAACCTCTCATTATAATTGTTCTTGCCAATCACATCGGCCCGACTGGAAAAACACAGTCTTTCATGTTTTCAATGCGCACACTTGCATTGCTTTAATCATGAATATTGCAACCCAAAGGGTGAGTTATTCAGAGCGCTTGAGGAGATGCTGTGAGGATTGCAATGCAGCTTGTGTTTCCTTAAGCATCATGTTCTGATACATCTCTCTGTTTAATAGAGAGGAATTGGCTTCAGGGTATTTGCTGCTACCATAATAACAGCGAGGAAATACTAAGCTTCAGAAATAAAGAACTTAAAAACAAACTTGCAACATCTATTTGACCCAGAGTTGGTCTTAACACAAAAACATGATTTGTATTATATTATTATATTTTCCTTGCAGTATAGCTTGAAGAAAAGCACACTCATGCAGGCACACACAGCAGGTGTCTGTGCTTTTCAGTAAACAATAATCCAGAGTAAGCCGCTGCTGTTGGCACGCACACACACACACACACACACACACACACACACACACACACACACACACACACACACACACACACACACACACACACACCACACACACACACACACACACACACACACACACACACACACACACACACCACACACACACACACACACACACACACACACACACACACACACACACACACACACACACACACACACACACACACACACACACACACACACGTACAGGCAGAGTAATACAGTAAGCAAGAAAAGGGAACAATTGCCTCTGTGTTCTATGCTTGGTAGCCACTGTCTCTTTCTGTAATAATGTCTATGCACTCATATGTTACCATTGCATGCACTGGTGTGTTCTTTCACTAATCACATTGTGCCTGCAGTGTTTATGAAGAAGCAGATGAGTGTTGCATCATGGGTAAAGGCATAACAAACAACAGGCAGAGAGTAAACAGTAGGGAAACTCACACTGTGTCTGTAGAAGGGGTCAACTTTTGTTGGGAACTTTTCAAACTGTAGGAGAAATGAAAGACATGTAAGTAAAAAGACTTAGAGAAAACATGAGAACTAAACATTTAATGACCTCTTTCAGGGTCATTTCAGGCCAACCCAAAATGCATCACAAAAAGCACTTCAGGACATGCTTACGGATAACAATTATGATTCAAGATGAAAAGTTCAGCCATTTCCCAAACAGACTGTTTTCATCCTCCCCTTTCGTGATCATCTGAAGCCTTTTTGATCTAGTGTGGGTTCTGTTTCTCATCTGGTCTCCTTTTAGTGGTGCAGCGTGGGCTCAGGGCGAACATTTCCCCAGTCAAGACTAAACACTGCAGCCATAAAGAGCCTTTTTATGGCCTCATTAGCTGTCAGAGGCCTCGCCATGCTGCCTTTGAGGTATCATCAGAGCCAAGCCAACCCTCTACGGGCCAGGCAGTTACAAATGTGTGTGTGTGTGTGTGTGAGTTTTAGGTCCAGCCGCCCATTGCCTGTGGTCTGCCCCAACCAACAGCACGGCTCTTAACGCAGGGCCTCTGCCAGTAATGAAAACCTTCAAACGGGACCAAATGATGTCATTAAATTCAGAATGAATTAAGCGTATTATGTTCTGAAAGCTGGCTCTGAAGTTAACATGCTCTGGGCAAGTTATTGCCAATTTAGAAAATAACGTCTCCAGTTTGGAGTCCTAGAGTTTGCCAGAGAAAACACTAGGAAGGCTTTCTGGGAGAATAAAGGCACGATTGTAGTGTGGACAGACACACATGGTCATCATCGAATGGCAGTCCCAGAAACCCACAGACTACAGTGTGCCGCTCACACACATGTCCAACATGTGTAAAGTCTTCACTCACACTTTCAGTGCCACTCCCACTCTTAAACATGTAAAACTCATTATAAGAAGACATGTAAAAGGATTGTTGGCTTTGAATCCATTGACCCTCTCCAACCCAGTGCATGTGTGTTTTACTTATCCTCACATTTCTGGCAGGGGTACGCACCATGGGTGGTGCCGGGGTGGGCATGATGGCGTGAGGGAAGGGCGTGAAGGTGTGCTGGTGCGTGTGTTGGTGGGTGTGTTGGTGCTGGTGCTGGTGCTGGTGGAACTCTGTGCGCAGGTAGGGGGGGGGGGCCCAGCGAGGCGCCGCGGTCCGAGTTCTGAGAGGCCAGGAAACGGGTGTTGAGCTCCTGACGCAGAAGTTCTTGCTCTGGAAAAGAGAAATGGGAGGATGTCAGGAGCAAATAGGAGGATGTCAGGAGCAAATAGGAGGATGTCAGGAGCATTCTACATGACAGATTCTGTACGGATGAATGGCCACAGACCAAGTTTGTCCCGGGGACTTCCATGTGGTACGCATTATATAGTGGAAGATATTTTGATCAATTAAACTTCTTCTCGGCAGTAAGCTTAGTTAAAAAACAACATTCCTTCGCTTTGATATATATCTGTCTTTGATTAAGCCTTATTCTAATATGTATGTAAACTAAATTCACTACTTATACACACCATCCAAACCCCCTCTATAATCTTCTTATATATATATAAATGTATATTATTTAAACTATTTCTCACTTCCGTGCCATTACAATTCAGATATATTATATATATAGTATTCCACATTTAACTGGGTCCTTCTGGAAGACCCCCAGAGGCTCTTTGAAGGGCCCCGGACTCATGTGAGAGCTTCATATGTCGTAAAAAGGGAGCCATGTCAAAGTTACAGCAAAGGAAACAAAGCAGAAAATGGCTGTGATTATCAGCATGTCATTTTAAATTCAAGCGAGGCTGGAGATGATTAGAAGTGTCTGACTGCTGGATCTGTCAAACGCAGTGATTTGATACACTTCAGCCCCAGAGAGACAACATCTGTTGTTCTAATAACCTCTGCACAGCCTGTGGAGAGAGAATGGATTTCAAGCAATCGCTGGCTTTCCTTCTAAATTCAACCAAACGTGCCTTGAGAGATATCTCCTCCAGAGTAACCTTATCCTTCCTATTCCACGGTGACTCACTGCAATATCTTCTGCATTCATTTCATGCTTTTTATTGGGCTGGGAGTGGGGATGGAATTTTATCCTCATAAAAATGTCATTAGTATCATTTGAACAAAATCCATCTCGCTCCATTCCGTATTGACCAAATTGATTTCTCGCACATGAACATTATTCAAGGGGAAAATTGAAGTAGTGGGAACATTGCTAATGGTGAGCCCCCCCCCTCTTCTTCCAACACTGACCCTGACATTTAGCTTGACGCCACAGCGTGGAAATGTGGTCTGCTTGTGCCATGTGTCCCGACCTGGGGATATTACTGGTGTGTCGAGAGTCAATCAATCTCAGCGTGACAGAATGTGTGAACTTGAACTGTCTACAGTCCACTATAAACAACATGTGGATTATCTTGGACTCAGTTGCTTGTTCCTTTAAATAATTACCGGGGTAACATTCTGCCTGTCTCTGCATCTCAAATACTTCCAAATCATATTCTGCTGAATGTATTCCCTGTGTACTTCTCATATGTCTGACCGTCCAGGAACACTGATGCAACAACTGGTTGAGTCAGCTATTCGTTTTTTGTTGGCAGCTGTGTGTGTCATCCTCTGCCACGTCACATGGGGGCGCTGGGTGTGTGTTTACCTGAGTAGGCAGGCCCAGCAGCAGGATGTCCGGGGCCTGGCAAGGTGCTTGACGTAAGAGGTGGTGGTGGAGGCAAGGCTGCTGGAGGAGCGAACATATTGGGGTGATGTGGGTGAGGCGAGGACTGCAAGGCAGGGGGGAAGCTGTGGGGGGTGCTCTGGTTCGCCGCCAAGGGCAGTGGGAAGGGGGAGGCTGCTGCTGCTGCTGCAGGAGGAGGAGGAGGCGGGTGGTGGGGGAGGTGCACAGAGGGAGCTGGGGGCCCTTGGGGCTTGGTGCCTGGGGTGCTGCTCCTGCTGCTGCTGTAACGACAGAGAACACAGAGGAAGATGGAGAAAGGAGCCATGTTAAGACACGCACGATCAGTCAGAATGAACACTCCGATGTTCAATTCCCAGCACAGTGTTTTCACACCTCAACTGTCCTCCTTTTACAAACGCCTGCTTGCATCTCCCTTCAGAGAATCCAGGGAAAACATGATCCGAGAAGACACCACATTCACAACACCCTCGGATGCAAATAAAACACCGCCGGCAACAGAACGTGCATCTGTCTGTGAACAGCTCAGGCACTTCCTCCAGAGCCAGGTAGTGAACATGTGCAGCGGAAATGGGATGAGAGGCAGGGAGGGTGTGTGTGCATGTGTAAGCAAACAGTCTTTTGTAGTGTGTGTGGGTTTTCCCCGGGGGCAGTCACAGAGCTTACTTCTCTACAGCTCCGTGCACTAAGCATAAAAGCTCATTTCCAGCGCCGGCTCTCCGCTGTGGGCCCCGACTGAGATTATTCACAGCGGGTGCCAGGCCCTGTTGGCACACAGTCAGGCAGCGCTGGCACAGGGAGGGAGGGGGGGGGGGGCCTGAGAGCTGTTATTGGGACTGAGAGGATTCTGAAGGAGCTATCCTGGAGCCTTAAATAAATGGAGAGAGCCTCACAGGCTTCAGTGCTTCTCCACAGAGATAGGACACAACAGAGCAGCTCTCTTGTTGTTTTTATCAAATGAAAAATGACTGTGGTCATACAAAGCGGAATTCAGCTGAGGTTACTTTAAAAACATTTCCAGGAAGCATATTGGAACTTTAAGGCTGTTTTTCTCTTGTTTTCATGCACAAAAACACTATCATCAATACACTTCAAGGTTGTGCTAAACCTTTGCACATACAGTCAGTATAATTGCTCGAGGCTTGGCGATGATGTGGATGACTAATAAATCACAGGCACTCCGGGTGCCCTTTTTATTCTGTTGTTAATAATCAGTGCTTCTGTTTGGCTCTGGAACTTCAAGCTCTCCCTCAGAGCAATCTACATACTGATCGGGCATCCTGTGAACGTCCAGATCAAAAGATATTCTAGCATTTCCATCTGTGTGTGAATGTGGAGGTTTGCACACTACCTTCTGCTTCAAAGCGCAAAAGGATATGAGAGACCTGAATGTTTGAAAATAAACGTTGTGAGGTCGTGTTATCAGCCTTACCTGTGCCCGTTGAGGTTGAGGCCGTTGTAGGCAGAAAGGGGTCGAGGGTGGCTGCGTGACGGGGGCCGGTGGGGCCCGGCCTGACTGGGGTGCTGTTGATGATGGTTGGGGAGGGCTGGCGATGGGGGGTGTGGGTGAAGGCTGGGGGTCGGGGGAGGCCGAGGGTGTGACAGCAGTTCAGGCTGGTGCTGGGGCCGGGGAGGGGGGGGGCGGCGAGGGCTCTTGTCCCTGTGCGAGAGGCAGGGCTGCGGGCGTCTGAGGCCTGGGGAGCGCCTCGGAGCGGGGGGCCAGGTGTGTGAAGGCCGGAGCCTGGGCAGAGCTCTGAGTGAGGGTCCGATGAGGGGACAGGGGCTGGGGGGCGGACGGCTGGAGGAGGGGGAGGGCTTGTGTGGGCAGAGGCTGACGGGGGCTGCTGGACGCAGGGGGGTGGGGGTCCCTGCAGGGCTCCTGGCTCCTCTCCTGACTGCGCTCTAGGCCTGACACCTGGAGGGGGCCCGGCCCATGGGGCTCCTGGCTGCCATTGGTGGAGAGCACATGGATGCCAAAATCTGGAACTGTGAAGAGAGAAACAACTCTTAGTTTTCAATATGGTGCTCCATTTTGACTTAAATGTTTAAACAAGTGCTAACGTATACATTCACTGACATGTTATTGAATGCAAGGAACATGCACTGAGAAGGAATATCAAGCTGCTGACACCTGACAGAATCAGTGTACCTGCACCCAGCTATAGTGCCCTGCTCTGTACACATGCATGATGGCCTCCTGCCCTCAGGTAGAAACCCTGTCTTTGTCTAACCAGCTGCCATCTCCACTGCCATGCCTAGTGTGTGTCAGTGACATACAGAATGACACACATGTATTCCTAGTCTCGTAGTGACACCCCCTGCTGGTGCTGCAGCTGTGCCAGCCCAGACCTGAGCCCCTCCTGCCTTTAACACCGTCCCCGGGGACACACTACACAGCTGAAATGTATTTTGCATGTTCAGGCTAAATCAGTCAGCATTGTACACAAAACTTCATTTAACAAATGTAATGCTTCAAATGTTATTTTATTTGCATTTTTGCATGTACCTACTGGTTTAAAAAGTGATTCCCCATTGGGGATTAATAAAGTATGTCTTCTTCTTCTTCGTTTCTTCTTCTAATAGATCTATTGTATACAGAAATCTATCAGTATACAGGATTGTATGGACTTTTGCATAGTTGCAGATATTTTGACATTTCTTTTCGATTAATCACTTTTAGTTCTTCGAAAGACAAGGAGACACTTTATCCAATAAATAAGCACAGCTATTCTTAATTATCATCTTTGCAAGCACTGGTGTCTGTTCTTAACCACATGCAAACAGGCTTTAAAGTGATGATTGTTATATGAAAGGGCACGGTAGGATGAAAACACCACATTTATTAATTCACTTGTAGCATGAAGGACGGGTGCATATTTAGCCTGCTGTCTGACAAGGTGAGGATTGATTTGATGGGCTTTCGGTAATTACCAAAACCCAGCAATTACCTGCCATTAAAAGCCCTGTCGGGCCCCATTGTGTATAAATTGTGAATTAATCCGGAGAATGAATAATAACCGCTGTACAATGTTGAAGTCACACAGAACAATAGCTAATAAGCCCCGTCCGGGGTATTTCTCTGCAGAGACCTCCTCCTACAGAACTAAGTGCTCAGACATCAGCAGTCAGCGTGGCTGCTCCAGAGGCAAAGAGGCTCATTGGGGATGACAGTGCATACATAAACTGTAATTAACTCTCCCCAGGCCTCCCCAGGGTTTAGGGGCAGCAGTGCGGGCTCCACCTCCCCCCGAGGGGAGCCAGTGTAATCCTTTACCTACCAAAGAGGTGTGGATTGGGCCAGCAGCAGCCTGTCACTGCGGGCTGCCATCTCCCTGACACACTTCTCCCTCCGGACACCCCCCCTGGGAGCAGCCCGTGTTAACAGGGCTCTGCGACAACCTCCGGCCATTAGCATTAAAATGCAAAGTAAGGTATTAGCAACGCCAGATGCTGAGGTGCATGTGATATCGTAGTTAAGGGTCAGAAGAGGTTATTCATGGTACACAATCAATATCTACAATGAGAGCTATTGACTCCTGCTCTTTGAGGGAGAGCTTACGTGGACATCTGCCAGCCTGTCAGGAGACAAAGGGCACACTTTGCCAGTTGTGTTTTTGTTATAGTGGTTTTAGGTTATCTTGGGGCAAGCTCAAATGAGATAAGTCCCCTTATAAAGTAGACAGGCGTCTGTTTTCAAAGATAACTAATCCTTACAGAGAAACTCAATCTCTTCTTTGTCAGTGTGTACACAAATCTGTTTTCAACAAAACAAGAGCATCAATGAACAAGAAAGCACAGCAGCACTTAAATCCATCTCCCTCACCCATGTCAATCTTCTCCACTTACAAATGCTATTACCGGTCAAGAGAGACTGCGGCTGGCAAACAACTTCACGGCAGCAGATGGGGAGAAAAGAAACTCCCAATTCTCAAGTCTCCCGCTGCACCGCTCCCTCCCTCAGGTCCACGGCTTGTTTTGAGAATGTGCTAACACGCTAGAAAGAGGGTGTCTATTCTGGTCATAATGAAGACTCCAGGGCCGGGCGGAGCGGAGCCACGGAAGAAGAGAAGAGGAGCATACGCCAGCTTCTCTCCCGCGAGGGTTCATTTGTCAGTCTTCTTCATCCCTGGAAACAAATATGCGCAACTCCCGCTTGGGTTGCTCGAAACGCAGAGCCCTGCTGTTTCTCAACGTTTCAGTAGCGCTGCTGTTTCTAACAAGTGCGCGTTGCTCGGCGAAGCATTGCAGTGGAGAATGAGGCCTGTGGGTGTGCAAGTTAGTGGAGAAAGGCAAAAGCTAGAGGCCAGATTTAAGAGGGGAAAGGGGGTACAGCAGGGATCTGTTTGGGTGTGTGAGTGTGTGTGTGTGTGCAGGAAAGCCATTCATTAAGGCTAGATGTCAGAGGACCCAGCGAGGGGCTTAGGGGGATAACTCATTATCCCAGGGTGAGCCATCTCCTACTGTTCTCTCACGCGCACACACACACACACAAAACCCCTCCCTACACAGAAGCATCATTAGATTGGATATAACTCCGATCTGACTGAACTGAATACAACATAAAACATGTTATGCTGTATGATAAATGTGGATGAAAAATCTCCACTCCTCAAAAATGTTATTAAAAACTGCTATAAGACATAACAGTCATTTGTATGCCCTTTGTTTCATCTTTCCTTTGTTGTTACTGCCCTGCAGTGGACCACAGCTCATTATCACCAAGCAGCTGTATTTACTGTTAGCATTTGTGTATGTGCTGCTTATATCAGATTGAGCCTGCTGCAGGGTTAATATGCCTGTGTATTGGTTGGTGAATGGTCCTTCATCTGCAAGGTGTTTGGACGACTACAGCCATGTGCAGGCTCAAATGATGAGGTAGAGACAGGATGCAGAACATTAGGACGTTTAATGTGGTGTTAGGTCATTACTGCAGTACTTAAGGGGATTTATTAAGCATACTATATTTCAATGTCATCCCGATACAGCCTGGCCCCGTATAAATGATTAACAAACGAGAGCCAACAACATCATCTTTTCACCTGTCCTTTTGAAAATACATTAGCGGGCCAGCTTGCGCCAAAACCCCTCGCTAATATCTCTCTGGGTGAGTGTGGGTGGATATGACAGCCTACACCCGGGCCTGGAGACATCGTGACAGATTGATGGCTGCTGAGACCTCTGCGACATCCCAAGCCTGCGTCCCTTGCTGTCTCAGGCTCCTCAAAATAGCGCCTCAACACATTCTAAACCCCTTACACTCATTTATGGGATTTCATCCTGGCAGGGGTCGCATAGCTCAAATCACACAAAACCAACAACCTAACACATAGCAGGAGCCACGAGACTGACAGCTGAGCCCGGGCCAATATGTGTGCGTCAGACTTGTTCCCTGAGCAGAGGCCCAGCTGATGCTGCTGCTTCGGAGACGAGGTATGGTCACACTAGCAGATTACGTAGTGTTGTAAGCATGTACAGTAAGTGCCAGCTATAAAATTAACTTTAAGTATCAAGAGAAAAATGCTGATCATGTGAGGTGTTTCGTGAAAGCAACAACAACTATGAAAAGGTACAAATACCTCAAAACTGTGCTTGAGGTCTTGGACATTGTACTTTGTTACAGGAACCCATTTTAACCGCATTCATAATATACACAATGGATTTTAAAAGGGTTACAACAATACATGAACATTTACCTTTAAATGACTTTTGTTGTTCAGGTTTTTTAACACATGGTGCTGTGACCTTAGTGTTAATAAACTGAAGACATTACAGCACCAAACATAGTAACAGATATGCTCAGAACAATAGCCAGCTTTCCCGACGTCTCTATTCACAATGGCGGGGGCAGAGTTACTGACAGCTGTGCCACTGTTGAGAGCGTCGAGGAAACAGGTGCTGACAGGGAGGGGGGGGGCAGTCTGCTCTACATTACGGACCCAGGGGCACCAGATGATGCAATGGCAGGTAACCTACAGTATGGGTGCTGACTGCAGGTCAGTCCTGTACCAGCGTCATGCTGCATCACTAGCTGTTACTACCATCCTCTGGTGGGAGGGGAACAGTCACCTTGGGGACTGGATCTGTTCTTGTAGCCAGCAACATCACTTAAGAGTCTACAGCCAGAGGTCTGTGAGGCGGTATTATGTACTTTGTCATGCCAACATGCTGAGGTCAAGGATCGTTAATGTCTTATTTGGCATTATAACATTAAATAATTAAGATTGGAAAGCACTGATTTCCGTAAAGGTCAATTCTGCAATCACATGTTGCTTGGATCCCATTTCCAGAGTTGGGAAGTTGTTCTTGTGACTTTGGTGGGTTCATCCCACATGAACATACAGTCTGTATATCATATTAAATGTATTGATGGTGGATTATACAACAGAAGTTATATTTCTGACTGTCACTCCAAAAGCCGTACCGTGTCAGCATTAAGGGGTATATAACATGTAGCCTGTAGGCACTGTATATCTACAGTCTGGAAAAAAAAGTATTTCCAAGCAGAAGCCCTGACAACTCCAAAACCCAGAGCTGTCTATCACAGCTGGCAGAGACCTTCGATGTTGCACTTATTCACTGTCGCCACTGCAACTCCTTTTCTCTATCTCCGTCTGGTGTTCTCCATCCAACTCCCTGTTGTGCGCCAGTAAGCAGAATCATGCCCAAACCTCTCACAGATCACATCACTCTTCCAGAGGCTACAGTATTACCACTCTCCGGCCAACACACTGCATTTTATGAAAACTGTACCCCGATCCCTTTGAGACATAAACTGAATACTTTGGCCCAGAGACATTCTTTATAAGACTGTTGGCCCGTGAGGTTGTTTGTGTTGTCAGGAGACTATTTTCCTGCCCTACACTTTGTCCTCTTACTGCCTCACACATCATTATCCTGCTTCTCCTCAGAAAACAGAAAAATAAACAAAGCGAGACAGACTGTTTGCTCAAGTTGAATCAATTAAAGTGCACACTATGCTGAACAAG